ACCCGTGGATCAGGGTCTCTGGGCCTCAGCCTGTCATCATACAGCCAGGAAATTCTGCATGAGGCCATATATGAACACGTCAAGGCACCTAGCACGTGGCAAGCATCAGTAACTGTGAAACAGAAAACCTCACCTCCAAGGACCCAAGAACACTTTAAGTTGCTTCCAGAAACCACAGATACCCTCTAGTTTGGCCTCAGCTAGTGGTCCATGCAACCAACTGACGTGCCACCTCCCCCATAAGGCAGCCTGAGGTACCCCACCCCCACCCAGAGGCTGTCTGGCCATCCATCCCTGGCCGGGAGGACGGGCTATGCTTTTCAGGAACTCGCTGTCCTCATGCCCGCCTCGGTTTATGCAAGTTGCACTCATAATGGCAAATGCATACTTTAATTAAATGTTACATAAGCAAGGAAGCTTCAGTCAAAGGCTGTGTCGCCCCTTGGAAAACCAAGATAATTGCCTCGGAAGACTTCAGCAAGGCCGACTGCTTTACAATGGTCCAATCGGGTGTGAACAAGGCCATGAAACCTTGCTGGGAAGGAATTATTTAAAATCAGAAGGATGTGCCACTCCGAATTCTCTGAAAGAACCAAGCACATCCTAAGTGGCGGCTGCAGCTGGAGTGAGGAAGACAACCCGAGCACGGGGCATCCCAAACCTGGAGAGAATCACGCATGCGGGTGCTCAGAAAACACTCAACAGACAGGATGGAAACGACTCTCCAGTTTGCCTTATAGTTCCATGACTAGGTTCCAGCCACGTTGAGAGACACAGAAGAGGTTTTCAAACAGGTCCAGCGTAGACACATCGTATGGTACTTCCAGAAACACAGGACAGGCGAACTAATGAGGCTCTCGTGCCTACTTTCACATCATCAAAGGCAACGCCCACACGCTCTGCAGTGCTTCAGTTTGTGCAAATGTCCTTCCTCTGAGCCCCTCCCAGAGTTCTGGGCTGAAAGCAGCCAGTGCACACGGGCACCTCGTGCAAGCCAAGGACAGGGTGCCTCCCCCCACCCCAATGTCAGCTCCACACACAGCCCCCAGAACAGGACCCAGCACCATGGAGATACTGAAGACACTCTGTAGATGCCCACAGAAGAGGCAAGGCATACTCAACAAAACATCGTTCAGCAAACAATGGAATTGTCTTACATTTGAGTCTTTATTAAATCTCAGCTGGGAACTACAAACCCTTTCAGCAGGACAGGGTGCCCTGGGACGATTTCATCTGTGTTAGTCTAGGGTGTTTAAGGGGTTCCGGCGTGCAAAATTGTAAAAACAAAACAAAATGTTAGGCCGAGAAATTTAACAGACATCAGTAAATGGTCTGGACAGGGCCTTCAAAGCAACATTTTTTTAAAGCATCCCTTTACAAAGCAACATACTATAACATTCGCCAAGAGGCAAATACAGAGACCAGCAGTGTCGCTCCCCCTCTTCGTGGAGGAACGACACTAAGCCCTGCCTAGGCTTCATATCCGAGTCACGGCACCATTATGTCGCTCCCCCTCTTCGTGGAGGAACGACACAGGACCCTGCGCTGTTCTTTCGTCTGCTCGGCCCTCCCCGGGTTTGCTGCTGGTTCTTCCCGGGTTGGCTACTATCCCTTCCACCTCCGTGGAAGGGCAGTTCCCCCTAGCCACATTCCCCACTTCTGCAGGGGAGCGGCACACCGCCGGCCGGCTCTCTGGGGGGCTGCACAGGTGTTCCCCTTAGGTGTTCCCCTTAGATGTTCCTGGTGCATGCCGTCTCTCTCCTCCTTTATAGTCCTCCTCCGCCAATCCTAACTCGGCTGCCCACACGCCGAGTACGCTGCTCTCCAATCAGGAGCAAGTCCTACAGTTTATTGGTTGAACTGGAGGCAGCTGTGCGGAAGCTGTTTACTTCTCTCCCAGCGCCATATTGTGGGAGAGCAGATGCATAGAATAAGTCTTAATTCCAGTAACTCAGTCCAGTCCGGGCTGCTCCCCACACAGCAGCCCTACCGTTAGCCAGTGGGTACCTGTAACTTGCTGTAACACTTCCAGAGGCAGCCTAAGTATGTGACTGGAAAAACACCTTGTCTTGGGTCTGTGCTATGGCATAGCAGGTAAAGCCACCACTGCCACCCTGGCACCCCAATACGGGGTCCGACATTTCCAGGGCCCCACTGCTCCACTTCCGACCCAGCTCCCTACTACCACCTGGGAAAAGCGGTGGAAGATGGCCCAAACGTTTGGGCCTCTGCCACCCACGTTGGAGACCTGAAGAAGCCCCTGGCTCCTGGCTTTGGCTTGGCTCCCCCCGGCTGCTGTGGCCATCTAGAGAGTGAACCAGAGGATGGACTATTTCTCTCTGTGTGTGTGTCTCTCCCTCTCTTCCTGTAACTCTGACTGTCCAGTAAATAAATAAATAAACAAATGGCTCAAGGAAAGCAGGGCCGGGAGATTCGGCTCACCAGGTGAGTGGGCTCCAGGCACACTGGCGATAGCCGAAACCCTGGTGAAAAGTGGCCAAGGAAGAGCTCTGAAAGCAGTGTTTCACATACCGCACGTAGAAAACCAACAGAAACTAACACATTTCAAACAACGTGCAGTCTCACCGTCTGACTGTAACTAATTAACAAAGCAAATAAGCCAAGCAAGTAACTGTCTGCATACCTAAAAAGTTCACATACACCAGTTGGCCCAGAAGAAAGTGGGAAAATAGGGGATTGTCCTATTTATAATTCACCTGCTGTGAAGCACCTACGGTATTTCCAGCAAGTGTCTGTCTATTAAATAAGAGACAGAGACATCCAGCATTCAGCTTTGCCAGCAGTCCATGCAAATCCAGTGGACAGTAAACTACCAAAGCCTATTTGGAAATGATTTTCAGCTGAAATCTTTGCCTTCCAAATGGATAGGGTTACTCAATGGGCAACACTCTTACAACCCCTGTCTCCCCACCCCGTCCCTGTCCGCCCAGGGGTTACACCAGGACGTGAGATGTAAGCACAGCACGGGGAACGTCTGGCTGACCAAGACTCCCACGACTGTGACAAATCAGTGGATGAAAAGTTAGACTTAAATTGACCACATGGAAGATTTGATTTGTATTTTTTTGAGAGACAGGTAGAGACAAACATAGAAAGCTCCCAATGTACCCCCTCCCCCCACCAAATCTTCACAGTCAGGTCTCCCATGTGAGAGGCAGGCACCAGGCAGCTTCAGCCAGCACGGCTGCCTCCCAGGGTCTGCAGGAGTCAGGAGCCGGAGCTAGGAATGAAACCCAGGTGCCCTGAGGGGGGACTGCTGACCTCGAGGCCAGAGGCTCACCCCTAGAAGACTGGATTTAACCGGGACTCTTCCTAGAACCTGAATTTACCCCTTTCAGATGGGCCTGTGAAGAAAGTCGGGGGCTGCGCTTGCCAGGGAAAGACATGGATACAACGCATCTGCCCACAGAGAAAGTCCACCAAACACCAGGCCCCCATGAGTAACCATTACCACCTTCCACCCCCTCGCTAAGTTCTAAAGAACCCGACAGGTTCAGAGGCCCCTCCTGACGGCCTGGAAGCCATCTGTAGGCACACGGTCATCAGGACCCCCAGCTTTGTGCTAGACGCTCAGTCCAGAAGTCACTAATTCCTGGAGCAGGAGGAGGGAACCTGCTTCTATTGGAAACAGAGATCTGCACCTACAATGATACCTTAGATTAAAAAGAGCAAAGAGTGAACATCTTTAACTGGGCACGTGGCGGGAGTTCATCACGACTGAGACCAAAGCCAAAGTCCCCCTCAGCAATGACCCCAAGTGTGAGCATCCCTTGACCACCCCTGCCGCCCCCGCGGCGCCTCCATGCGCCTCTGGCCTGCCCGCCAGCCGCTGCCTCCTCCGGGTCAACGGGGGAAAACCCAAGTCAGCACAGCGTGACATCCCACCCAGCTCAGCATCCAATGGTTCGCGTTCCTAATCTTAGACATGTCGTAGGACTGAGTAATTCAGATGCTAGAATTTTCCCAGCATCACAGAATTATACATGTTGGAAAGATTACGCACCACCAGCTCCTTACATGGTCACGAAGGGAGGAATAAGGCCACGTTTCCTAAAACAAGGATAATTCCAAAAGCTTCACAACCACGGACTTTTTAACCTTGAAATGGACTTCTGCCCATTTAAAGAAATTACAGAACATTAGTAGCTTCTCACTTAAACCAGCACCCTACAGGCCACACACAAAGCAGCTCTGGAAACCAAACCACTGAAGCTCTCCAGGGAAGATCTTGCCCCTGAAACAGAAGCAGCGAAGGCTGCACAAGGAAGCTCCAATCACCATCTTCATCAACAGCTCAGCTGGGAAGGCAACCCTGCCCAAGAGCCCAGGCTTGGTGACCCCTGGCTCGGTGACCGACCTTGCCAACTCCAGCAAGGGCTGCGCCACAGCTCCCGGGGCCTCCAGGTTAACCCCCTTCCCAGCTACTAAAGGTACTTGGCAATCCACACACCTCCGTGCAGGCCACAAGGTCACGCACTTCCTGAGCCCTCTCCGCCCACGCCACACGCGCAGGCGGAGACCCCCTCAGAACCGGGAAGTTCAGCGCGGAGTTTCCCCTAGCCCGTGCCAAGGGGGACTGACTCCGAGGGGCCCAGGGAAAAGCAGCGTAAGGTGCAGATAAGAGGCCGGGCCTAAAGTGGGGTGAGCACCGCGGGACGAGGGGACGTGGACACATGGATGAACAGGTGGCCAGGTGCCCTGGTCCAGATGCCTGGAGCAGGAGAAAGGATATCCGGCAGGAAGGGCCTAAGGCAGGTGGGGACAAGAAGTTGGTGGGGGAGGGGAGGGAGGGAGCCTTGAACAGCAGTGGGCACGGCACGTGGGAAACGAAATTGAAGCGAGTACGCAGGGCAAGGCGAAGGAGGAGGCCCATGCGAGGCCACCTCTGGTCTCCCCGGCTCCCACGTCACCGCCTCCAGCGCCTATGCACACTCACACTTGCACACACAAGGGCGCCACGCCGCGGAGCCGATACCTACCTTGGCCACGGGCGCGCTCCTGCTGGTCACCAGTTCGCACAGGCCGGCCGCGGCGCTGCCCGCAGCTGCGGGGAGAAAGACTGGGGAGCCCGGGGCGCTGCCGGCCGCGCCGCCCCCGCCGCCGGCGAGGGCCGGGGCTGCACTGGGGCCCGGGCCGGGGCGCGCGGGCGGGCTGCCGCCGGGACTCGCGCCCGCACGCGGCCGCTGGCGGATGCCGTCCAGCAGGCGCACTAGCAGGATGTTGGCGGGCAGCTCGTCCACGCCGCAGCCCACCAGGATGCGGCACTCGGGGCAGCGCAGCTCGTGGCGCGAGCACACGATGCTCTCCAGGCAGCGGCGGCAGAAGGTGTGCTGGCACGGCAGCACCTTGGCCGTGGTGTCCAGGCGCTCCAGGCACACGGAGCACTCCAGCAGGTCCAGCAGCGACGACTCGTCCATGTCCTCGCCCGCCGCCCGCCGCCGCCGCCGCTCGCCCGGGCCGTCCTCGTCTCCCTCGCTCTGCGCTGCAGCGGCGGCCGCCTTGGACGCGCACAGCCAGGACGCTCCGAGCAGCATGGGGGGAGGCGCCGGGAGCGACCGCGCTCGGCTAGGTCCTGGGGCCGGCGCGGGGCCCGCCGCGGGCAGCGGGCATCAGGACCGCGCCGGTGCGACCGCCGCGACTCTCCTCGCCGCAAGTGCCGGGCCGCCCGGCCTGCGTGGCGGGGACAGGAGTTCCGCGAGCGGCAAGCCAACTCCGGGCCAGTCGAGCCCGCCCAGCCCTTCTGAGCGTGGCGCCCGAGGCTCCGGGCTACACCTGTCCCGCCACGCGTCTGGCGCACGCTCAGCGGGCTCCGCGCTCCTCCAAGCAGCCGCAAGCTGCAGGAAGTGCGGGCAGCGGCCGGCCAGGTCCCCGGGGAGGCCGGGGCGCGGCGTGCGCGCTCCCCCGCGCCGCTGGCCAGCCGCGCCGCCCCCGCGGCGCCTCCATGCGCCTCTGGCCTGCCCGCGAGCCGCTGCCTCCTCCGGGTCAACCGGACAGTTCCTCTTCCTTGGCCGCGAGCACGTGTGCGGCGGGTGCGCGGAGGTCACGGTCGCGGTGGGGCGCGGGGAAGGAGGCGTCGGGCCCGCTGGACCTCCTTGTGCCTGGACGCACGCCGGCAACTGGCCCTGCCCCTTCGGCCACCTCCAGGGCTCCCGAGAACGCCGCCTGCGCAGGCTCGGCCCAGGCACCTCCGGGCGCCCCCGTCTTCTCGGGGCTCTCCGCGAGCCTCGGAGCGGGACGCTTCTTCCAACGCCGCTAAGAAGGAAAGTTTGGGCAGCCTTATCCCGACTGCCGCCTTCGCCAGCGCCGGCCAGCAGCTCCCGGACACAACCGGCGCCCGGGCATCCTCCCCGACGACTTCCCGGAGCGCTCCCGGCCCCGGCCCCGCTCCAGGCGGCGCGCAGAAGTGACAGCCCGGGAGCTGCGGCTGTGGGTGTGGGGACGCCCGTGAGTCAGGCGGGGAAGGCGCTCTGGTTGGCGGGGACGCCCCGGGGCCTGCTGCTCCGGCTCCGGCTCCGGCTCCTCCCGGGAGGAGCCCGCCCTCGCCCAGAGTCGCGGGTCCGAGGCTGGCGCCGCTGCCCGCCGCGCCCGCACCCCTTCAGCCGGCGCCCGGCTCCGCGCCGCGCCCTTGGCGGCGCAGCGCGAGGGGCTCCAGCGCCTGCCCGGCGCGGTGTCGCGAACCCCGCTCCAATTTCTCCTCGGGAGGCGCAGAGGCGGGGGAATTGGCGCTCTCGCTCCTGACGCCCCGGCTTCTGCGAGCGTCAGAGCAACGGAAGTACGTACGGGAGGCCCGGGAGCCGCAGGGAAGTTTGGCGGTGGGCTGGGGTCGGCGGCGCGGATTCCCTGCCGCGCGCTGCCCCCTCGTGGCCGCTCCGCGTTCCCGGCGCTCTGAGCGCCCTCCCCGGCCCCGCGCGCACGCACGCAAAGGGGCGCGCGATGCTTCTCGCCAGGACAAGGTGCAGGCCGTTCTGTGGTTTGAGAACTTAGATGCAACTGCTTTTTTTTTTTTTTAATTTCCAAAGAGATACCGGTTATTTGCCGATGCTTAAATGCTTGGGACGTGCTTACGTTGTTACTGAATTTTCTGAAAGCCTTGTGAAAGTATCAACTCCGTTTTACAGAGGCGGAAGATGCGGCTTCGCTATGCAGCCATTAGGGCTCAGTTTTCATTTTTGTATCCCCAGAACCTGGCGCATAAAGATCACAGGCCGTTAGATTATAGGCTCCTGTGAGCTAGGCGTCCTGTGCACTGTGCTGTATGTCCTCAATGCCCAGGGCAGTGCGGGGCACGTAGCAGGTGCTCCATGTTTGTTCACGGATGGAGAGCAGAGCGCAGTCGCGTCACGCAGTGGTCGTTGGTAAAAAAATCTCAATGTCCCAGTTCCAGGTATCCTGAGCTCACATCAGGCTGCCCACCCTTAAAGTAGCTCCCCGTGGCAGCAGGTGGCTTTCCTAGCCTACCTGACTATCCGTGCTGGGGTGTTCCAGTTGCTAGCAACCTCCCCGGGACTGGTGATGGAGGGAGGCATCCCTGAGCTGCCTGGCTGCCTAGGAGGCCTGGAGTGAGGGCGGGGCCTCCAGCTGCCCCAGGCCCATTCTCAGGACCCCACAGGGTGGGGGAGGGGGACATTTATTTCAGAGGACTCAGAATGCATGATCCCAGCCTAGAGGGTGTGGACACAGGACAGACTCAGGCACAGGGAGTGCTCCCCCATGAGCAGGGTTGCTCACGACCCGCCCTGGGGGTTTTAGGTGCAAGCCACAGAAACCAATCTGGCAAGGTCTGAAAGGGAGCAGGCTGCACTGTAGGCACAAGGCTGGGACTGGGCCCGGTTAGCCCAGAGACAGTCCCCAGTGTGCGTGCCCTCTTCTCCCTGTGCTGACTCACTCCTCTGTCTGGTACCAGCTGTTTCTGCCTCCCGGCCCAAGGCACAAGAATCAGTCTCGGGCTGCAGGTCTCCGACTCCGGTCACCAGCCTTGGACAGTGGTCACTCTCTGGCCCAGGGTTGCATTTGGCCACAGGAGCAGGAGCAGCTGAAGGCTGGCAGTGCACGCAGAAAGAGAAATTAAAGTTTCCAGAGTAAAAAGCAGTGTGCCCTTCAGAGCGACAGGTACACCCGGCATCCCTTGGATGCACAACACACATCCAGTAAGAGCACACGCAAGACCCCTGCACCCTGCCTTTCCCGGAAGTCCTCTGCCCCTTCCAAGGCCCTTCAGCCTGTGCCCTGGTCAGTCCCACACCATACAAGCCCAGGTGGGGCTGCGCTAAGGCAGTAGGGCAGAGTCGGGGGCTGCCGTGAGCTGTGTGTGTAAGCTTCAGGAGGAGCCGCTACTCAGCTACAACCACGCATCGCCAGATCTTCCCACTGTTCAGGAGAAGCCAGAAGTCCTGCTTTTCACGCGACGTCTCCCGGCGTCCAACAGCTGGCAACCAAGTGGGTTCTCAAAAACACACCCCCTTAGCCAAAGAAAATAAGCGTGTGCCGAATTGGCCACCAGTTTGCAATTTGTGGCTGAAGTAACCAAGTGTCATGTTCTGCAGGGTGAGGGCATGGAAGGGTGTGATGGAAATAGTTGAGGGATTACAACGGCAGTGTTGTGTTACTCAGTGAAATTTGTACGTGTTCAGTAAGCCAATTATGTAAGTCAGTGACGGAAGAGCTGGCTTAACAGCCATTTGGAAGAAAAGGCCTGGGGAATTCAGTCAACCACAAGCAGACTGGGCACCAACGTGAGTCACCAGTGGAATATGGCTGCCTGGAAGAGTGATGAAATCTTAGGATGCCTTAATGGACGCGAAGGGGTTGGGTATGGAAAGAAATAATCCCCTTGCACCTAGGACTTGTCAGGCGCTGTTGGCAGGATCCATTCCAATGCTGGGTTTCAGAAATTAATGGCACGGTGGTGAAAGGTCTGGGGACCTTGTCCATGAATTCAGGGTGAGGGGACAGAGGACACCTGTCCGGAGAAGAGAAAGCGCAGAGGAAACAGGACAGAAGGATTCACATTGTTTCTGGCTGCCCCAGATCTGAACCCCTACTTAGATCTGGCAGGTGCTCCACGTGCTGATGTCAGATGTGTACTTTCCCAGCTAAGGTGTGGGTATATGACCAAGCTCAGCCCATCAGAATCTGTCCCCTTGCCCTCCACACTCTGAGAGGAGACGGAGGAGGGCAGGTGGCCAGCAGTGGTGCCCATAGCCCTGGCGCCTGGCTGGTAAGCAGAGCAACACCCTGCGCAAGGGCAGATGGGGGCCCCAAGCCAACCCCAGGCACCTGGGTATGACTGTGGTGAGCAGCCTGAGCTGCGGCTTCTACTGCCTTGTTGACCTCAGGACCCCCTAATTTGCCAAGTTCCTTTCTTATGAAATCAGCCAAGATCAGATTCTGTGGTTTGCAACCAGAAACCCTATCTGATGCACATCATTTATTATCAGGCAGAGACCAGTGAAGGCCCTTCAATGTGAGGCAGCTGTCATCCCACTTGTCACCACACCGAAGAGCAACTGGGGCCCCTTGGCCTGTGTGTAGGCTGCCAGGGCAGCCACATGAGCCCTCCCCTCAGAGCGCCATTCGTTCATCAGATTCACTCGACAAACACTTCTCTACTGTGTTTTGCATCAAGCACTGGGGAGAGCAGAGCCAAGGGCAGGACAGGCCTGGGACAGGTGGGGGGTGTGGGGGGAGGGGAGCTCATCTCTGGGACAGGAACCTCCCCTGGCCAATTCAGCCCAGTGACCTCACCCCTGTGGACCAGGGCTACGTCTTCGTTAGACAGAAAGGTGCCAGCCCCTAAAGTCTCTAATAACGTTGAATAATATATTAGAAGGGCGTATTCATTTTGCCTTGTTATTGAAGGGAAAACTAATATGGATTACGGGTACAGAGTGGCAGATCTCAGCCGCACCCACAGAAGGGCTTATTACCAGCCCACGTGTCCTAGGGCTGCCACATGTAGGGCACTGGCAACCTACAACCAGCACCTACGTGGCTGAAGGAGTTCAAGTACAAGGTCTCTCAAGCACAAGGGGAGCCCCTCACAAGGCAGCTCTATACTGCACCTGCGTTCTGCAGCAGCTTTCCTGGCTGCCCAGGACTCCAGCGTCTCACGCGAGGAGCAAGGACCTGGCTGGTGTAGAGCTGGCGCTCAGTCTATAGGTGCTGAATGAATCCAATGGGTGTTATTGAACCCAGCTGCAAACTACTATGTTATTTTTGTTTATTTTTGTTAATTGTGGCAAACTATACAAAGTGTAAAATGACCACTTTAACCAGTATACAGCTTCAGTGTACAGTTCAATGACATTAAGTACATTTGCACTGTTGCCATCTTATGTTATTTTTAGCCAATCTTGCCTCTCCCTGTGTCAGATTTCTTCTTGCCTCCAATAGCCATTCAGGGTTGCTTTATGAAACCGTCCTCAAACAGGGCACCCAGCTTGACTTGCTGGGGCTTCCAGGAGGTTCTCTCGGCTTCCTGGCCACACCTCCTCAGCTCTCCTGCCGGCAAGGAGACCCCACCCACCCACCCTGAACCTTGTGGATGCCCTACAGCCCGCCCTGGGACCTGTCCCTCCTCCAGCCCAGGGAGCCCCGTCCCCCTGAGGCTCCTGCACATCCAAGAGTTCCCGCTTTGTGCCCTTCATGGCAACAGTTCTCCAGGTGGTCTGACTTCACACGGGCACTGCACACCCCGAAGCTGGGCTTGAGCTTCCTCCCTGCTGCTTCCCCGGCCAAGGACAGCCCCAGCAACGGCCCCATCTTGACGGCACACACAGTGTCTACCACGGAAAACTAGTTCAGAATGCTCCACTTTCTTTTACAGGAAGGAATCACAGTACAAAGTCGAGATTTGGATACTTAAAGATAGTTCTTACACTCGTCAACAGTCGGGGGTGGGGGCTGGCACTGTGGTATAGCTGGTAAAGCCACCACCTGTGGTGCCAGCATCCCATATGGCAGCTGGTTCAAGACCCAGCTGCTCCACTTCTGACCCAGCTCTCTGCTGTGGCCTGGGAAAACAGCAGAAGATGACCCAAGTCCTTGGACCCCTGCACCCACGTGGGAGATCCGGAAGAAGCTCCTGGCTCCTGGCTTCAGATCAGCGCAGCTCCGGCCATTACAGCCATGTGGGGAGTGAACCAGCGGATGGAAGACCTCTCTGTCTCTGTCTCTCTATAACTCTGCCTTTCAAATAAATAAATCTATTTTTTAAAAAAAAAACAGTCTTGGAATGAAAGAGAATTTAGAATTCAGTCTCTCTCCAAGCTCGGCCTAGTCGGGTTCTGTAGATGTTTGTTAAGCATCTACTCTGCATTTCTCCATGAATTTTACACAGACTTTGCCCTTGAGGAGCTTGTGGGCTGGTAGGGGCTGCAAGAACACACACACACACACACACACGCACACACACACAAAACAGAATAAAGGCAGGTCATGCGAGATGCAGGAAATCAGGAAAGGCTTCCTGGAGGAGGTAGTCTGGGAGGTGGATGGGGTTTTGATGAGTAGAGAGGCTGTGGCACTCGGTGCCTACTCGGCGCGTACATACGTGGAAGACGATAGCCTTCCGGGTTTCTGACTGGACACGAGAGGACGGCGAGCAGGAAGCACTGTAAATACCCTGTACCAAGCAGGGGCGTGCAGAGGGTCTTATTTTAGACACGAGTTTGAGGCAGTGGTGGCATTTGGTGGGAGGTGAATCTGGGAGTGATTTTCCTTTGGGTGATGGAGGAAGGCTCGCTGGTCTCACTTGGAAACAGGAAGAGCCTTTCCTGCT